TTTAAAAATTGGAAAAATTGAAATATCGAAGAACTAAAAAATCAAAAAATCGGGAAGTCGAACATGAAAAAATCGAAAAACGGAAAAATTTAAAATGTAAGAAGAAGAAAATTGAGAAATCAAAAAATTGAAGAGTCGGAAAATTGAAAAATCGTAAAAATTGATACATCGGAAAATTGAGAAATCGAAAAATTTTAAATTTTTAACAAAAAAATTGAAAAATGGAAGAAAAAACGGAAGAAATCGAAATTCGAAAAATCGGAAAATTAAGAAATCAAAAACCTGAAAAATCGAAAAATTGAAAAACTGAAAAATTGATAAACTGAAGCATTGAAAAGTGGAAAAATCGGGAAATCGGAAATCAAAAAATTGATTTATCGAAAAATTGGGAAATAAAAAAATTGAAAATTTAAAAACGTGAAAAACAGTCAAGAAACTGCAAAATCGTAAAACTTGCAACATCGGAAAATTGAGAACTCGAAAATTTCAAGAATCGGGAAACTAAAGAATCAATAAATTGGGATTTCCCAGCAAAATCGAATAACTGAGATGTCAAAAAATCGAAACATCAAAAAATCGTGAAATCAAAAAAATAGAAACATTTAAAAATCCCTACATTTAAAAAAGCGAATAACTAAGATGTCACGAAATCGTAACATCAAAAAAATTGAAAATCGAAAAATATAAAATTTAAATAATCGAAAAACTGAAAAGGCAAAAATTGAAGAAATTGAAAAATTGAAATATTGAAAAATTAAAGAATCGAAAACTGTAAAACAGATCTCGAAAAACTGGAAAATCAAGGTGGTGAAAAATTCCAAAACTGAAATGACGAAACACTGGGAAATCGAAAAATCGAAACATCGAAAAATTCAGAAATCAAGAAATCGGAAAACAAAAAAATTGATTAATTGAAAAATTGAGAAATCAAAAAATTGAAAATTCAGAAACGTCAGAAACTGAAGAGTCGGAAAATTGAAAAATCGTAAAAATTGAAACATCGGAAAATTGAGAAATCGAAAAATTTTAAATTTTTAACAAAAAAATTGAAAAACGGAAGAAAAACGAAAGAAATCGAAATTCGAAAAATCGGAAAATTAAGAAATCAAAAACCTGAAAAATTGAAAAATTGAAAAACTGAAAAACTGATAAATCGAAACATTGAAAAGTGGAAAAATCGAGAAATGGGAAATCACAAAATTGACTAATCGAAAAATTGGGAAATTAAAAAACTAAAAATTTAAAAACGTGAAAAACAGTCAAGAAACTGCAAAATCGTAAAACTGGCAACATCGGGAAATTGAGAAGTCGAAAATTTCAAGAATCGGAAAACTAAAGAATCGATAAATTGGGATTTCCCAACAAAATCGAATAACTGAGATGTCAAAAAATCGAAACATCAAAAAATCGTGAAATCAAAAAAATAGAAACATCGAAAAATGCATAATTTAAAAAATCGAAAAACTGAAAACGTACAAATTTAAAATTTTGAAAAATTGAAAAATAGAAAGCTCGAAGAACTGAAAAATTGAAAAACCAAGAAATCCATAAAACTAAAATTTTTAATAATTGAAAAATTTGAATATCGAAAAATTGAAGAATTGAGAAACTGAAAAAACGAGTATGTGGAAAATTCCAAAACTGAAATGACGAGACATTGGGAAATCGAAAAATTAAAAAATCGAAACATCGAAAAGTCGAAACCTCAAAATTTCAAAAACTAAAATATCAGGAAATCGAGAAATGGAAAAGTCGTAAAGTCGAAAAATTGAGAAATCGAAATAGCTCAAAATCGAAAAATCGAAAAAATTTTAATTTTTCATTAAAAAAAAATCGAAAATGCGAAAATCGTAAAAAAGCGCAAATTGAAAAATCGAAAAACCAAAAATTTTAAGAATCGTAACTGAAAAACCGGAATATCTAAAACAGAGAAATATAAAAATCGAAAAATCGAAAAACCAAAACATCAAAAATTGAAAAATTTAAATTTTAAAAATTGGAAAAATTGAAAAATCGAAGAACTAAAAAATAAAAAAATCGAAAAACGGAAAAATTTAAAATTTAAGAATCGAAAAAGTAAAAAATCGAGAAATGGAAAAATATTGAAAAATTGAAAATGGAAGAAACATTGAAGAATCGAAAAATTGAAAAATCCCAAAAGTGAACATCGAAAAATTAGGAAACCGAAAAATTTAAAAATCGAAAAATTACGAAATTAAAACCTGAAAAACCGAAAAATTGAAAAACCGATAAATCGAAACATTGAAAAGTTGAGGAATCGAGAATCAAAAAATCGAAATTCGAAAAATCAAAAAATTAAGAAATTAAAAACGTGAAAAATCGAAAAACTGAAGAACTGAAAAACTGATAAATCGAGACATTGAAAAGTTGAAAAATCGAGAAATGGGAAATCAAAAAATTGATTAATCGAAAAATTGAGAAATCAAAATATTGAAAATTTAAAAACGTCAAATATTGAACAGTCAAAAAACTGAAAAATCCTAAAACTTGCCACATCGGAAAATTGAGAAATCTAAAATTTCTAGAATCTGGAAACTGAAAAATCGATAAATTGAAACTCGAGAAACTGAAAAATTGAAACATGGAAAAATTGGAGAATAAAAAAAAACTCTAAAATGGAAACATTGAAGATTTGAAAGTTTTAAACCACAAGTTCAGTAGACACGTTATTTGTTTAACATTTAAATAATATTTATTTATTCGAGAAAATTGTCAGATGACATCAACAATTCCAGGGCGAGCATGAACATAAGTTTTGATTAACGATTTACCATGCTTACTATAACCTTTAAACGTTTGCAAGATTTCAAAGCATTCCATTTTGCATTTTTTCAAAAATCTGGATGCTCAAGGTAAAAACTCAACACGAATTCATAAACCACAAATGGAGGAGTATGTTACTGTATAAAATTTAAATAACATTGACTATTGTAAAATGTGGAGATGACATCATTCCATTGTTGATGGGGATGATCAGACAAATTTGATCTACACAATGTTCCTAATATAGCTACATATAAAATTTGACAACACTCGGTCCAGTAGTTGCGGAGATATAATAAAGATCCGGACAAACGGCAGACAGACACACGGAAACGGGAGACCTATTTTTTCGTACACTAGTTAGTCGCCCGATTACAATACTTCCCGAGAGTAAATTCTTTTCTGGAATTTCAAAATTATTCTAATAAATTTATATTACTCCAAACAAATCCTCGAAACAACGTAAACAAAAACACATCACAACGAAAACAAGAAACTCCAATGATATTTAAACCTCGTCCTCATCATTATGCATCGAAAACAAAACCGCTTCGCCCATTTTTCAAAAAAATCCCATGAACCACGCCACCGTCCATATTTTATCGCCTTTCTGGCCGCGTACGCCCATGCCCGCGACCACTAAACACTAAACCCATCGACCCACCGACCGTCCCATTCCTGACGTTAGCCAAATGATTTAGCATGCAATATTTCGCCGGGACTCCCATATGTCATACGCTAAGTGTGCACTTTTAATGCTCATTTTTCGAACGGCTCGCATTTTTTCATTTAATTGCGCGTTTTATTTAAGTCGCCAGCATTTAAATTACATACATTCCGTATAAATTATTTTCGTGTATTTGAGATTTTCGCAATTATTAATTTTAATAAGGCTCCGGACAAGGTGAAAAATCGGCCGCTGTTTCGACCGCTCGGACCAATCTGTTTATTATGCAAATGGAGAGGTATCGGATTCATCACGGTCGTTAAGACACCTCACAACGTTTCGTAACATCGAGTGCTGCTTTTTTTGGGATTGTCGCGAGGTTTGTGATTTATGGCGGTGTTGGTGGGGTTTTCGTTTTCTATGTAAAGCGAAATTGAAACGAAAAATTCAAGTTGTGGTACTGCAGGCAGTGGAGCAAAAAATCAGTCCTAGGAATCTGAACAGTACTGAGGCGGTTCCATAATTACCACACCCAGTTCATACTCAGAAAGTTAACAATTAATAATTTGAACAAATTAGGTATTTTTCTAAATTTTCGGCAGAGAAGTCAGATGGATTAATGGCAGCGTTAATTTTTGGGATTTACTTTTTTGTCTGTCAGTAATATGATTGACATTTGCTTTGAGCTGGATTGCCACTTTTCTACTTCATTTATTAGATCAGAATTATCACATGCAATTTTTTAATCAAGCAAACAAATGTTTTAATTCTGTCAGCATAGATAATTTGTCATTGTGACAGATTCGCAGATCATTGCGACATTATTTAAAAAGAAGGCCAACCCTACGCCATAAGTGCAAAATATGTTTCCTTGCAAAAACCATTTTAACCATGTTTTAAGTTTCTTGGTATGAAAAGATAGCTGCGCATATTAAGAAAAAAAGAGGCAAAATATAATCCCCGCCCACCCGCCCTGTCTCAATTCTGATGATTTTTTTTATTCATTGTAAGCCTACAGGGACGAAGCTTAATTGTAAAATCCTTATTTTTCTGCGAGAAATTACCATTCTTAAGTAATCGTGTTATACAAAGAAAACTAAATGTATTAATTAAAAAAAACCAAAAGAGAAGCCCCACCTATCAATTTTTCATTCGTTGTCAGACAGAGGGGTGGAGCGTAATTGGAAATTCCATATTTCCCTATACAAATTTACCATTTCAAACATGTTTTAAGTTTCTTGTTGTGAAAAGATAACTACACATATTAAGAAAAAACGGCAAATTGTAAGCCCCGCCCACCCGCCCTATCTCGATTGCGATGATTTTTTATTCGTCGTGAGCCAAGAGGAGGAGCTTATTTATAAAATCCTCATTTCTTTACAAGAAATAATAAACATGTTTTTGAGTATCGTGTTGTTCAAAAAATACTATGTATATTAAGAGAAAAAAGCCAAAAATTAAGTCCCACTCATATCCATCCCAAGCTTAATTGTGATGAATTTTTCATTCGTTGTCAGACCGAGGGGAAGATAACAAAAAAACTGGGGAAGAATGTCTGTATATTTTTATTTTAAATTTGGTGCTACTCTAATCCCCTCTAAAACTACACCAACTGTTGCCTGTCGAAGAACGAAGACATTTAATATGTTTGAACCATCTGCATGTCAGCCCTAAAACACTCAAAAAAACTGTCTTCATCCACGTCCAAGAGGAAAAACTCCAGGGCAAACTGTATTTCTCCAAAATCAGAAGAGACAGACAGTTGCGACTTATATTCTACATCTTGGCCTGCTTCCAGAGGACACTCTGTGTTGACTATGCCATCGCAAGCATCTTCTTGTTCTAGAGGAAGACTTATAACCAAGTTGGATGTTTCGCCGATAGCTTGTGGAACAATGCGATCTAATCTTCGTGCTAGGAAAAGATAAAATGAAGATAAGGAAATAGAAGATAAGTGAACTTACGTGACGTGAAGTTCATTGCAATGTTAATGGTACTATTGATCGGGAATATGCAGGGTGGTTCGACGCAGTTTTCAATTTCCACATTATCAGGAAGAGGAATATCACCGACCGCTGAAAAAATGTCAAAGTAAAAATTGAACGATAAATAGTAGTTAAATGTGGTTTAACTCACCGGTGCAGGGAGTGACAGTGGTGGCTTGGATACTGATACTTGAAGAAAAAACGTAAATTACGGCAAAGACGATTTTTGGAAATGCCATAGTATTTTGGAGGAACCAAAAGGTGATGATTAAAACGTACCAATAAAAAATCTTGACAGAATGCATCTGCTGTTTCCGAGATAAGATAAGACGCAGATATGTTCATTAAAAAAAAAATTGGTCGAAGATTATTCCGACAGAAATTCTAGCTTCTTTGAAAAATTGGAAATTGAAAGAATAAAAATTTAAATTTTAACTAGAATTTCGTACAAAGTTATATTGACGATAGCCACTCATCTCTAAGAAATTCAAAAGGGGCTTTAACCTTCCATCACTACCTATTTGATGCATTAAGGAGTCTGAGTATGCCGGAATATTAAAATCACCTAGGATGATTACGTCCCCTTCGAGAGTTAAGAGCTATTAAGTGTTCAAAAAATACATAAATGCCTTCCACACATATTCTTGGACTAGGAGGTACATTCGCAACCACTACGTAAAAATTTTGGAAGCAAGAGTTAATTTTGACGACTAGAATATCGATCATTGCCACTGAGTTTTCCAATTTTTCGATTTTCCACTTTTCGATTTGTCAATTCTTCGATTTCTGCATCTTCTGGTTATTCTATTTTTTTGATATTTTAATTTACAGATTTTTCAGTTTTTCTGTTTTAATTTTTCAATTTTTTAAATTTAAGATTTTTCGGTTTCTTGATTTCTTCTCGATTTTTCGATTTCCCCATCTTTCGATTTTTCGACTTCTCAGTTTTGATTTTTCGGTTTTTTAATTTTTGGATTTTAGAAATTTTCGATGTTTCAGTTTTTCAATTCTCCAATTTTTCCATTTCTCGAGTTTTTTCAATTTTTGGATGTTTCGATTTTTTGATTTCTCGCTTTTTTCGATTCGATTTCGGCTTTTCGATTTTTCACTTTTCCAGTTTTTCAATTTCCCAATTTTTCGTCATTTTAGTTTTGGAATTCTTCAATGTATCGATTTTTTTAATTTCAAATTTTTTAATTTTTGTACTTTTTAATTTTCAATTTCTCATTTTCAACGTCCCGAATTTTCCATTTCTCGATTTTTCGACTTTCCGGCTTTTCAAGTTTTAGATTTTCTCCAATTTTTTTCGATTTTCCAATTTTTCGATATTTCCACTTTTCGATTTGTCAATTCTTCGATTTCTGCATCTTCTGGTTTTTCTATTTTTTTGATATTTCAATTTCCCGATTTTTCAGTTTTTCTATCTTTTAATTTTTCAATTTTTTAAATTTTAGATTCTTCGATTTCTTGATTTCTTCTCGATGTCTCGATTTCCCGATCTTTCGATTTTTCGATTTCAAAGCTTTTGATTTTTCGACTTCTCAGTTTTGATTTTTCGGTTTTTTAATTTTTCAATTTTTCTCTTTCCCTATTTATCAATATTTTTTAAATTTTAAATTTTCCGATATTTTTCGACTTCTCGACTTTCCAATTTTTCGATTTCTCAAGTTTTTCCAATTTTTGGATGTTTTGATTTTTTGATTTCTAGTTTTTTTCGATTCGATTTTCGGCTTTTCGATTTTCCACTTTTCCAGTTTTTCAATTTCCCAATTTTTCGTCGTTTCAGTTTTGGATTTCTTCAATCTATCGATTTTTTTAGTTTGAAATTTTTTAATTTTTGTAATTATTAATTTTCAATTTTTCATTTTCAACGTTTCGAATTTTCCATTTCTCGATTTTTCGACTTTCCGGCTTTTCAAGTTTTAAATTTGTCGTTTTGGAATTTTTCAGTTTTTATGTTCTCCAATTTTTTTCGATTTTCTAATTTTTCGATTTTTACACTTTTCGATTTCTCAGATCTTCGATTTTTGCATCTTCTGATTTTACTATTTTTTTGATATCTCAATTTCCCGATTTTTCAGTTTTTCTATCTTTTAATTTTTCAATTTTTTAAATTTTAGATTCTTCGATTTCTTGATTTTTTCTCGATGTCTGGATTTCCCGATCTTTCGATTTTTCGATTTCAAAGCTTTTGATTTTTCGACTTCTCAGTTTTGATTTTTCGGTTTTTTAATTTTCCAATTTTTCAATTTTTCGATTTCCCCATCTTTCGATTTTTCGACTTCTCAGTTTTGATTTTTCGGTTTTTTAATTTTTCGATTTTTAAAATTTCCGATTTTTCAGTTTTTCATTTTTTCAATTTTTCTCTTTCCCTATTTATCAATATTTTTAAAATTTTTAATTTTCCGATATTTTTCGACTTCTCGACTTTCAATTTTTCGATTTCTCGAGTTTTTTCAGTTTTTGGATGCTTCGATTTTTTAATTTCTCGCTGTTTCGATTCGATTTTTCACTTTTCCAGTTTTCCAATTTCCCAATTTTCCGTCATTTCAGTTTTGGGAAATTTTTTAATTTTTGGAATTTTCGATTTTCAATTTTTCATTTTCAACGTCTTGAATTTCCCATTTCTCGATTTTTCGACTTTCCGGCTTTTGCTGATTTCAGTATGGAATTTTTTAATTTATCTGGCAACCCTAGTTACGTTTCACATGGCAATTTATCGTAAGGAAATAGAGATTTTGGACTTAAGCTCCACCCCCCAGCTGACGACGAATAATAAAATTAATTACAATTGAGACAGGGGCGGGTGGGTGGGGCATATATTTTACCCATTTTTTCTTAATATGCGCTGTCATCTTTTCACAACAAGAAACTTAAAACATATTTAAATGCTAAATTTTTGTCGAAAAATTTGATTTTACAAAATTAAGCTCCACCCTCGATCTGACAAATGAAAAATTCATCACAATTTTAATGGGGCGGGCGGGTGGGGCTTATCCATTGACTTTCTTTTCGTAATATACATAGTTCTCAAATAGTGAATTTGAGATTAAAATTATGTTTTAAATAACATATTGTTGAAAGAAAACTATACATAGTAAGAAAGGACGCCAAAGAAATGTCAATCAGACTACTGACAGACAGACTAAATCATCAAATCAGTTTATCCAACTTGAAGAAAAAATATCAAAGCCTACTTTAATATATAAAAATCGTCGGAAAAAATTACAAAATCGATATTTTCTTATACAAATTTACCACTTTAAACATATTTTAAATTTCTTGTTGTGAAAAGATGACTACACATATTAAGAAAAAAAGGCAACTTGTAAGCCCCGCCCACCCACCCTATCTCAATTGTGATGATTTTTTTATTCGTCGTGAGTCAAGGGGGCGGAGCTTAACTGCAAAATCCTTATTTCGCTACGAGAAATTGAAAACATGTTTTTGAGTATCATGTTGTTCAAAGAATACTACGTATGTTAAGAAAAAACAAGCCAAAAATTAAGGCCCACCCATATCCCAAGCTCAATTGTGATGAATTTTTTATTCGTTGTCAGACCAAGGGGCTCCAATTTGGGTCCACTTTTGTTTATTATATTTTTCAATGATATACATAAATACGTTAGTTGTGAATTTTATATTTATGCAAATGATTTGAAGATTATTAACGTTATAAATAAATATAATATATTATTTCTTAAGACAAGGCTGATTTTAGCAAATGACTAAACAATGTTAAGAGTGATCTCTGGAATAAAGAGGGGGTGGGTGGGCGGGGCTATTGCTTATTTATATATGACTCTGTAGTAGAAAGTTAAACTTAGAACCGCCCACCCACCCGTTTTTTCATATGTTTTCGTCTGAAATAAGCAATAAATCTTATAGAAAATAGTGTAACAAAAAATTACGGTGAGCCCTTTTTTTAACAGCCTATTTTTGATGTTTCGATTTCGCAGTTTTTCAATTTTACGATATTTAGAGTTCTTCAATATTTTTTAATTTTCGAATATTTTCTTTTTGGGTTTTCATTTTTTTTACTTTAGGTTTTTCAAGTGTTAAGTGATAACTTGGAGTTGTTTTTCCGCCTCTTGAAGGTGTGAAATGTTGTAGTAAAAGGCTGATTAATTTCGACTTTATTAAAATTTAAGTCATCTTCAGGTTTTGACAAGCTAGGACATGTATTTTGGAAACATTAATGAAATTACAATCACATAGGTTTTATAATAATTAATTAAAATAATTACGCAAACTAACCGCAAATCCAGACCTAATTATAAGTAGCGCAAAGTTCAAGATTATTTAACAATCCTTCACCTCGAACATCCCTCAGAATAAAGCACCATTTTGTGAATCTCCCTACAACCACCCTATCCCTTTTTTTATGAAAATTTCCATCTCGTAATCATCCCATTCCGTGCGCTTTTCGCGTGATGCGGCCGTGCCCTTGGGCTAGCGCCTAATAACAGGGCCGGCTCCTAATTGAATATTATTGAATACCGACCAACACTCCCGGTTCAGTTGAGGTCCACTAATCATTCTTAATAAGCAGAGACAATCGCATCAAAAGTGCGTGTGCCAAAGCTGTTTGCGTGCATAACGGCCTTTTAACCGCATCCTCGATCGAAAGCGGCAAATTGAATCTTGATCAAGGGTTGCAATTTCATTGATTAAGGGTTACGAGCCGAAACTTCCGTGATTCGTTAAGGAGAGGAAAGTGGCGGTTCGACTCGGAGATTCTGAATTTTTTCAAGCATTAATCTCAGAAACAAATCTTCCTTTCATTTTCCAACTTCCGGCCACCTAAGAGAGTCTTTGATGGGTCATTCGTCATGCCGAGACCTGTCCCATCTCCTACGACCCATTATGTTTCGAATATGGTAATCGTAACTTGAGCTTATCTGCACGGTAGCATCAAACCTACACACCTGTCTAGTGAAAAAAGTGAAAAACTCACCCCCGCACTGTTACTCGAGTCGTGCATCTTTTCACGACGAAACAAAATCGAATAACGGCCCATTGAAAAGAAGACGACTGAATGGATGTCGAGTGAATTGCGTTGTTGTAGCTTGTTGACGATTTAACACTCTTTCTGCGATTCCTTTTTGTGGTGTTTATGAATGAATGGCAAAGGGGTGATTTGAAAGGTGGACGCGGAATTGGGCTAAAGTGATTACTGGGTTTGCATGACAAAAAAAAAATGATAGTGGAAGGAATGATTAGGTCACGGGCGTTTCTCTAACTGATAATTAAAATTACGTTCATTTACATATCGTAAAAGTAAAGAAAGTGTGCTCCAATAGGTATTATTGTTTAAACGTTTTTTGTATTGAAATTAAAACGACGTGGTAATAAAACGCAACAGTTGGAATTGACAATGGAAAGCGATAAAAGTCTTTTGAGGAAGATATGCTAAGTAGTTGGGCAATAAAATAACGCTGATCTACAAAAACAAACTTTTATTAATCGTCAAAACGCTATTACTTCCTGGGCGACACTCTACATTGGACGACTGGTTATTTTTACTTCCCGAGCGTAAGCAAAGGAAGTATTGTAATCGAGTCCGTCGGCCGACTCTACTTTTACATTTTCTCGATCTTTCATGACCCCTAGAAGACGAAGAAATAGGTCTCCCATTTCCGTCTGTCTGTCCGTCTGTCCGTCTGTCCGTCTGTCCGTCTGTCCGTCCGTCTGTCCGTCCGTCTGTGCGTCTGCCGTCCCGGATTTTTATTAGATAGATAATCTCCGAAAGTACTCGACCGATTGTTGTGAAATTTTGTACTTATATTAAGAATATCATGTAGATGGCAAAACGCTAACCAAAATTTGTCTAATCATCCCCACCACTAATGCGATGACGTTACTTCAAAATTGTACATAGTAAATGGGATTTCAATTGTATAAAATAACATAGTCCTACACATGTAGTTTACAACTCTGAATCGACTTTTCACCCGAAACGTCCAGATTTTTGGAAAAAAAATCAAAATTATAAAACAACATTTTGAAATTTAATTTTTAATCTGCTAACCAGAATGCTTTGAAATGTTGCAGATGTTTTAAGGCTATAAAGAGCATCATAAATATTTAGTCAAAAAATATTTGCTTATCCCCTCCAAAAACTTGATGACGTCAGCTCAAAAGTTTGTGGAATAAATCATATCTAAAATGTACAAAATATGATGAGTCTGTACTTGTGATCTATCACTCCATTCATATTTTTTGGATTTGCATATACAGGATGACTCAAAAAAATTAATGAATGCGTAAATATATTTTATTGATTTAATCAGGAACTACAGAACCGAATGCTCTGAAATCTTGCAGATGTTTTAAGGTCATAAAGAGCATAATAAATGTTTAGTCAAAATATATTTGCTTATCCCCTCCAAAAACTTGATGACGTCAGCTCGAAAGTTTGCCGAATAAATCATATCTAAAATGTACAAAATATGATCAGTCTGTATTTGTGACCTATCACTCCATTCATATTTTTTGGATTTGCATATACAGGGTGATTCAAGAAAATAAATGAAAGCGTAAATTTATTTTACTGATTTACTCAGGAACTACAAAACCGAATGCTTCGAAATCTTGAAGATATTTTAAAATTATCATAAGCATGGTAAATTTTTGATCAAAATGTATTTGGTCGTCCCCCCTAAAAAATTTATGACGTCACCACAAAATTTTGCTGAATAAATCATATCTAAAATGTACAAAATATGATGAGTCTGTACTTGTGATTTATCATTCCATTCATATTTTTGGATTTGCATATGCAGGGTGACTCAAAAAAGTTAATGAAGGCGTGAATTTATTTTATTTTATCGATTTAATCAGGAATTACAAAACCGAATGCTTTGAAATCTTGGGAATATTTTAAAGTTATTATAAGCATGGTAAACTTTTGTTCAAAATGTATTTGTTCATCCCTCCAAAAAAAATTGATGACGTCACCCTTAAATTTTGCTGAATAAATCCTATCTAAAATGCAAAAAATATGATGAGTTTGTACTTGTGATTTACCATTCCATTCATATTTTTTAGATTTTCTTAAGAGGTGGTTCAAAAAAATTAATGAAGTCAATTTATTTTATTGATTAAATTAAAGGCAACACTTATTATTAGTATTACACCCCAACCAACCCAATTTGGTAGACACAAAATTTGTTAAAGGAAAAACTCGGTTGAAACATAAGGGTAGCACGCTTATTTACATCGACTTTAACATTACAGACCTGCATTTGTTTTATGCGCTCACTTGGTTCCGCGAATGTGAAATAGACATGTTTATAATCAACCAATTGTGAATTTCACCGTCAAGAATTAAAATAAAACCCAATGTTTTATATAATAAGCGGAAGTCGAAGCAATAAAACCGATGGTCGTTTTGTTTACAGTTTCTCTGTTTGACTCTCACGTATGCTGTTACGCCTGTCATCTTAAATTAAGAATGTTTATACATACACGATTTTCAGTTGCCTCTGATACGTAGGTATACGTGAGTAAATTGTTTCGTTATTTTATGATTATTACAAATCAATATTCAAAACGACCCAATTCATTTTCCAGAAAATTTGAGAATATAATAATTTTATTCTTAGTATTACACTACATCTATCCCAACTGATATACGTGTCCTTGCAAAAATGTTGATGACGTCATCGCAATTTTTTTTTAAATTCCCACTACAAAAATGTAATGAGAAAAAAACACAATAGGCATGCAGTCGTCAAGTTTCCGACAGCGAGGGAAGTACTGTCTAAACTCTTTAGACCAATTTTTGTATTGAAATTAAAACGACGTGGTAATAAAACGCAACCGTTGAAATTGACAATGGAAAGCAATAAAAGTCTTTTGAGGAGGATATGCTAAGTAGTTGGGCAATAAAATAACGCTGATCTACAAAAACAAACTTTTATTAATCGTCAAAACGCTATTACTTCCTGGGCGACTGGTTCTTTTTATGTTTTCTCGACGTTTCATGACCCTCAGAGTACGAAATTTACAAATTTTTCAAACACGCTATTTTAATTATGAACAATGAAGATATCTTATCTTATCTCCAGTACAACAGATGTATTCTGTCAAGATTCTTCATTGGTACGTCTCGGTTCCTCAAAAAATACTATGGCATTTCCAAAAATCGTCTTAGCCCTAATTTACGTTTTTTCTTCAGTTATCAGTGCCCATGCAACTATTGTTACTCCCTGCACCGGTGAGTAAAACCACATTTCACTACTATCTACCGTTCAATCTATACTTTGAAATTTTTTCAGCAATCGGTGATTTTCCTCTTCCTGATAATGTAGAAATCGGAAACTGCGTCGAGCCACCCTGCCTTTTCCCCATTAATAGTACCTTTAACATTGCAATGAACTTCACGTCACGTACGTTCACTTATCTTTCATTTACTTATCTTCATTTTATCTTTTCGTAGCACGAAGATTAGATCACATTGCTCCACAGGCTGTTGCCGAAACTCCCATATTGCTTGTAGATCTTCCTCTAGAACAAGAAAATGCTTGTGATGGCATAGTCAACACAGAGTGTCCTCTGGAAGCAGGCGAAGACGTAGAATATACATTGCAAATGTCTGTCTCTCCTGTTTTTGGAGAAACGCCTTTTGCCATGGAATTTCTTCTCTTGGACGTGGATAAACTGAGTTTTTTTGAGTGTTTTAGGGCTGACATGCAAATGGTTCAAACAGACTGAATGTCTTCGTTTTTCGACAGACAACACGTAGATTTAGACGGAATTAGAATAATTTTCATTGCACTGTTTGTAATAAACTTGTGTGGTATAAAAGTTAATTTACTGTCTACGATGACTCCAAGATCTCTAAATTCCTCACAACGTTCTAATAACTATTTCACCATTGATATTATAATAAAAATAATTGTTTGAACCTTTCTAGTTATGGTCAATGCTGTCTTGTAACTTAACGCAATAGAATAAGAATTTATATAAACAAGAAATAGCCCCACCCACCCACCCTGTATTTTCTTAGAGGGTACGTAATTTTCCAGAGTCACTCTTCTTAGCTAATACTACCTCTGCCCGCCCACCCACCCTTTATTTTCTTAGGGATCAAGTCATTTACCAAAGTCAGTCCTATCTTGTCAGGTACTGGCCCCGCCCATCAGCGTTGTTCAAAAACTGAAAAATCACTACATTGAACGAAATATCCAAAAATTGGGACATTAAAAAACTGAAAAATTGGGAAATCGAAAAGTCAAAAAATTGGAAACTTAAAAAATCGAAAAATTGAAAAATCAAAAATTGAAAAACCGAAGAATTGAAAAATCGAAACTTGGGAAGTCGAGAAATGAAAAAATCAAACAATAGATTAATTGAGAAATCGGAAAACTGAAAAATAGACAAATCGAGAAATCGAAAATCCAGAATTTAAAAAATTGAAATATCTAAAGTTCAACGAAAAACTGAAAATCCAAAAAGTAAAAAATCGATCAAAAAATTCGGGAGTTCAAAAATTAAATCAAAAGTAGAAAAATCAAATCAAAAGTAGAAAAATCGAAATATTGAAAACTCCCAAAACTGAAAAAAATATCCAAAAATTTGAGAAATTAAAAAAGTGAAAAATTGGAAAATCAAAAGACCAGAAAAATCGAAAAATAGAATTAAAAAAATCGAAACTTTGGGATGTCGAGAAATGGGAAAATAAAAAAAAGATTAGTTTAGAAATCGGAAAAGTGAAAATTTGAAAAATTGAAAAATCGAAATTTTTAAAACTCGTAAAATTAAAGAGGACAAAGATTGAGAAATAACGAAAAATTGGGAAATGAAAAAATAGAAAAATTGGAAAATCGAAAAGTCAAAAAAGCAAAATCGAAAAATCGAAAACTTAAAAAATGGAAAAATTGAAAAACCGAAGAACAAAAAAATCGAAACTTCAGGAAGTCAAGAAAAGGAAAAATCAAAAAATAAATCGTAAAACTGAAAATTAAAAAACATTGAAAAACTGAAAAATCTAAAAATCTATAAATTAAAACATTGAAAAATTAAAATATGGAAAAATAAAAAATGGAGAAATTGAAACATCAAAAAATCAAAAAAATAAAAATTCGAAAGTCTAAAATTTAAAAATCCAAAAACTGAAAAATCATACAAATCTAGAAAACGTAGCCCGAAAATTCAAAAGATTGGAAAATTGAAAAACTGAGAAATAGAAAAATCGAAAAATCAAAAGATCAAGAAATCGAGGAGTCGAGAAGTCGAAAAATCGAAAAATTGAGAAACCGAAACAGGCCAAAATCGAAAATTTAAAAATTCGAGAAATTGAAAAATCTAGAATTTTAAAAACTGAAAAAATAAAATATCGAAAAATTGAGAAGTCGAAACATAAAACAGTTGAAAAATTGAAAAATCTAAAGTTTAAAAAACGAAAAAATAAAAGTCCAAAAATTAAAATCGAAAAATCCAGAAGTCGAAAAATCGAAAAGTTGAAGAATCGAAATATTGAAACAAAAATCCAAAAATTGGGAAATTAAAAAATTGGACAACCGAGAAATCGAAAAAATCGAAGAATTGAATAGCGGAAAAATCAAAACGTTGCGAAGTCGAGAAATATGAATCAAAAATAGATTAATTTAAAAATCGAAAAACTGAAAAATTGACAAATCGAGAAATCGAAACTCCAGAATTTAAAAAATCGAAAAACTGAAAAATTGACAAATCGAGAAATCGAAACTCCAGAATTTAAAAAATTGAAAAATCGAATAATTGAAAAATCGAAACATCGAAAAATTCAAAAACCGAGACATCTAGAAATCGAGTAATCAAAAAATTGAAAAATCGAAATATTTTAAAAGAAGAAAAATTGGACAAACCGTATATCTAAAAATTCGGAAAACTGAAAAATTGAAATATAGAACAACCGAAAACTCGAGAAATCGAAAAACACAGAATTTTAAAAATCAAAACAGTCGAAAAATTGAAAAATCTAAGATTCAACGATAAATTGAAAATCCAAAAAGTAAAAAATCGATAAATTAAAAAATCCGGGAGTCCAAAAATCGAGCAGTCGAAAAATCGAAATATTGAAAACTCCCAAAACTGAAAGAAATATGCAAAAATTTGAGAAATTAGAAAAGTGAAAAATTGAAAAATAAAAGACCTGAAAAATCTAAAAATTGAATAATTTAAAAAATCGAAAGTTTGGGAAGTCGAGAAATGGGAAAATAAAAAAAAAGATTAGTTCAGAAATCGGAAAACTGAAAATTTAGAAACGTCAAAATTTGAAAAACTGAAAAATCGAAATCTTCAAAAGTCGAAAAATTGAAGAGAAGAAAAATTGAGAAATCGTATCATGAAACACCGAAAAATTGAGAAATCGAAAAATAAAAGAAAATCGAGAAATCAGAAATTTAAAAACCCGAAAATTGAGATCTAGCAGTACTGAAAATTTGAGAAATTGAAAAACCTACAATTTTAAAAATTGTGAAGTTAAAATATCAAAAAGTTGAAAAATTGAGAAATCAAAGTATAAAACAGTCGAAAAATTGAAAAAAACTAAAGTTTAAAAAACGAACAAATGAAAATTCAAAAAGTAAAAAGTCGAGCAATCGAAAATCCAGAACTCGAAAAATTGAAAAGTCGAGTACTAAAAAATCTTAAAACTAAAATACGGGAAAAGTGAAAAATAGAAGAAAAACTGGACAACTGAAAAATTGAAAAATCACAAAACTAAACGAAATAACCAAAAAAAAAGGAAATGAAAAAATTGAAAAATTGGGAAATCGAAAAGTCAAAAAAGCAAAGTCGATAATTCGAAAACTTAAAAAATCGAAAAATTGAAGAACTGAAGGACTGAAAAATCGAAACTTTGGAAAAATGGAAAACATCGAAAAAATCAAAAACTGACACATCGAGAAATCGAGGAGTGGAAAGTGGAGAAAAAAAGTTAATCATTAAAAAGTTGATAAATCGAGAAATTGAACAATCAAAACATCGAAACATCTGAATTCCATAGAACGAGAAATCAAAAAACTGAAAAATCGAAATATTTTAAAAAAGAAAAATTGGAAAAATAGAATATTTAAAAATCCGGAAAACTGAAAAATTGAAACATACCTAGAAGAACTGCAAACTCAAGAAATCCAAAAACCTTGGATTTTAAAAATTAAAACATCGAAAAGTTGAAAAACTGAGAAATTGAAGTAGGTATAAAACAGGCGAAAAATAGAAAAATCTAAAATTCCGTAACGTAAAATTGAAACTCCAAAAAGTAAAAAATCGATAAATCAAAAAATCCAAAAATTTGAGAAATTAATGACTCCAAGATCTCTAAATTCCTCACAACGTTCTAATAACTATTTCACCATTGATATTTTAATAAAAATTAATTGTTTGAACCTTTCTAGTTATGGTCAAAGCTGTCTCGTAGCTTAACGCAATCAGAATAAGAATTTATATAAACAAGAAATAGCCCCACCCACCCACCCCCTCTCCATTACAGTGATCACTGCACTTAACATTGTTCAGTTATTTACCAAAATCAGCTTTATCTTAAGAAATACAAGCCCCACCCACCCACCCTGTATTTTCTTAGAGGGTACGTAATGTCCCAGAGTCACTCTTATCTTAGCTAATACTACCTCTGCCCGCCCACCCACCCTTTATTTTCTTAGGGATTAAGTCATTTACCAAAGTCAGTCTTATCTTGTCAGGTACTGGCCCCGCCCATCAGCGTTGTTCCCAGTCTAACTTTTATTTATGTTCAGTATGACATCTGTCTTTCATTAGGAATAGATAAAATGATTCACTCACATAAAGACGGGGTGGGTGGGTGGGTTTAATTATATTTTCTTTTGTAGAGTGAGAATGGGAACAAATAATTGGAAAATTGAAAAATGGATAATTGAAAAATCAAAAGAACGAGAAGTCGGAAAGTCGAAAAAATTGAGAAACCGAAATAAGCCAAAATCGAAAAATCGAAAAGTTAAAAATGGAATCGGGAGTTTAAACAATCAAAATACCGAAGCATCCGAATGAAAAATCGAAAATTTAAAAATTCGGAAAATTGGAAAATTAAATTATAGAAAAACTGGAATTAAAAATCTAGAATTTTAAAAATTGAAAAATTAAAATATCAGAAAGTTAAAAAATTCAGAAATAGAAATACAAAAGTCGAAAAATTGAAAAATCTAAAGTTTAAAAAACGAAATACTGAAAATCCAAAAAATAAAAATCGAAAAATCCAGAAGTCGAAAACTCGAAAAGTCGAAGAATTGAAATATTGAAAAATCCCAAACAGAAACAAATATCCAAAAATTGAGAAATTAAAAAATTAGACAACCGAGAAAACGAAAAGGCAAAGTCGAAAAATCGAAGAGTTGAACTGAAAAATCGAAACTTTACAAAGTCGGGAAATGGGAAAATCAAAAAATAGATTAATTTAAAAATCGAAAAACTAAAAAATTGACAAATCGAGACATCGAAACTCCAGAATTTGAAAAAGTGAAAATTGAAAAATCGAAACATTGAAAAATTCAAAAATTGAAACATCGGGAAATCGAAGAGTGGAAAGCTGAGATGAAAAGTAAAAATTGAAAAATTGATAAATCGAGAAATTGAACAATCAAAACATCGAATCATCTGAATTCGATAAATGTGAAAAAACCGAATATCTAAAAATTCGGAAAATTGAAAAATTGAAATTAGAAGAACTGAAAACTCGAGAAATCGAAAAACCTAGAATTTTAATAATTAAAACAGCGAAAAGTTGAAAAATTGAGAAATTGAAGTATAAAACAGTCGAAAAATTGAAAAATTTAAAGTAAAAAATCGATAAATCAAACAATCGAGAAGTCGAAAAATCGAAATATTGAAAACTCCCAAAACTGAAAGAAATATCCAAAAATTTGAAAAATCGAAAAATTGAAGAATTGAAA